AAAAAGCCGGCAGGGGCACTGGTGGCCGTGATGGCAGAATACTCTCCTGTAGGACTTCCAACAGCTCGAACTTAGGTGATTTCGTTCTTCTTTTTTCTACGTTTATTTATTAATGTATTCCATGAGAGAGAGACAGCACCTCCGATGTGGTCCTCACGCCATGGTCCACTCCCGGCCTCAGCCAGCCCTTCCCCGTGGGCCCAGCAGCCCCACACCATCACGTGCACTCCCAGGCCCTTACACCGTTCCTTCCGTCTTCCCAGATGCTGCGACTGTGACAGACTCACTGGGGTCCGTACATGTTGGGGAGGAGCCTTCCTTCTGGGGGTGACCACGTTCACCTGGGCATGCCTGCAGCACTCTGGGCCCATGGACCTGAAGGAGAAGCATCTGGTAGGCCACGATGGGTCACCCTCTGGGTATTGTCTGTGTGTCTTGGTTGGACTTTCCTTACTGTGTTTGCCTGGCCCCAAACCAAAAGCGAGAAAGGGGCAGCAATTCTGATGCTTGAGGGGTGTGACTCTGGCTCCCCCGGGTGGGAAGCAGGACGCAGGAGCCCAGAGTAAAAGATGGAGGATGAACACTTACGCACCGCCCGGGAGTGGGAGGTCTACTGGGCCAGGCTCCTAGCCAGTGCGCCACGTCTTGCCCAGGGGTGTGTAATTTTGCTTGTTTGCTCTTTGCTGGGGCTATGCCCCAACCTGCTGGGCCGTGTTGAGCACCGCTGGGTGCCCTGTCTGTGGTTAGGGAAGAGCTCCCCAAGCAGACGGCAAACACAGCTGCTCCCTCAGCTGGGGGAGCAGCCAGGTGGTACAGGCTTCTCCTGCCAGCCCGCCTTGCGCCAGCCCGCCTCTGCGCCGTCTTTGAACGGGGTAGATTCGTGGATCAGAATACATTTCTCCCATGACAAACACTCACCTCAAGGAAGTCCTGGCCCCTGCCCAGCCCCTGCCACACCCTCCTAGTGGGTCTCTCTGTCTCTGCTTACTCGCCTCCTCGTGGCTGGCACACACCCATCAGTGGCTGTGTCACCTGCCGAGACTTTCAGCGTGGGTGACCCCTTCATGCTCCTGCCCATGCGCCCAGCATCCCTGCCTAACTCGACCACTGGTCATTCTGAATGCTTCAGAGTTTGGGCACACACCGTATTTCGGCTGTTGCCTCTAAAATGTTCCCCACCCCTTTTCCTGGTAAATCCCCATATTTTCTTCAAGACCCACCCTCCTCCAGCTAAGTCTCCTTCCCTTCCGGAGGGCCCTCCTTGCAGCATTCGTGGTACGTCCATCAGCGTACCGTTACACTCTACTGAAGCAGTCGGTCTCTTCCACTGCATCTCAGTTTCCCCTGCTCCCAGCACAGACCGCATACAGAGAAGACATATAGACATTGATTGACATGAGCTTTGGTCAGTGACTACCCTGCCAAACAGATTTTAAAAAAATAATTATTTATGGGGGCGGCAGGTGGCTTGGTGATTAAGGTTGCTGGACTCCATATGGCTGACTGTGGTTTGAGTCCTTGACCTGGCAGCCTGCTTTCTCTCTCTCTCACTCTATACTTCTCTGGTCAAATTGAAATAAATGAATGAATAAATAAAGTTAAATAAAATATTTTTAAAAAATAATTATTTATTTGGGGCCAGCAGGTGGCGTAATGGCTGTTGCTGGACTCCCACGTAGTCAACCTCGGTTCAGATTCCCAGACCCAGTGGTGGGACCAGCAGTTAGCGTAATGGTTATGTCGCTGGACTCCCATGTAGTCGACCACGGATGGCGTCCCGGACCCGGTGGCTTAAACTCACACCAGGTGCATGTGCACGCATTCCCAAGATCCCGAGAGGAGACTGGAGGGGAAGGGATTGTGGCGTGGCCATCCCCCCTGGGGGGTGATTTGTAACTTTCTGTTTGTCTCTCTCTGTCTTTCTGGCAAGCGCATGTGCCTATAGCAAAAACCTCTCCAGAAAAAAAAAAAATTTATTTAATTTTATTCATTATTATTACTTTAATTTGGCAGAGAGAGACACATACACGGAAAGAAGGAGGAGAAAGAGAGGGACAGTGAGAAAGCAAGCCGCCATGTCAAGGACTCAAACTGCAGTCATTCACGTGGGAGTCCAGGGCCTCAACCACGACTCCTGCTGACCCCCCCAACAGATTTTGGGGAAGTCTGGATGTGTCCTCCGTGACCTCTGGTGGTACCTGGCTGCCTGCTGCCTGTGTGGGTCCAGGCTTCCTGTGCCTCTAGACTGGCTATGTAACAGGCTGGCGGACTTGAACTTGAAGCAGGAGTTCAGCCTCCCGTTCACAGCTACCACTGGCTGTTCTGCATGTGTCCGTCATAGCCATGGTTGGCACAGAGGGAAAGCTACGCTGGCCACTCCACTAGCCGGGGTGCAAGGCAGCACGTCCGACTGCAAGTGCTGTGCCCTGCCCAGTTTCCGGGCGCATACCCCCTGAAGCTCCGATGTGCAGTGTGGTGGCCTGCTGGGGTGAGGCTGAGTGCCTCCAAAACAGAGGACAGTATTGTGCTCTGGTTCCGGCCGGCCACCGGAACTCCAGTGCCTACTGCACGGGAGCAACAAAGTTCCATGGTCAAGGGGCTGGCTCCTCTCGTCAGCTTTAGGGAGAAGGCTGGAGAGCACAGGCTGCGTAGTGCTTGGGGCCATTTTTCCTGGAGGACGATCTCTTTGTCCTCTTCCCTCCCTGTCTGGATAGGTGGGCCCTGAATTAGAAAGCATTGTCACTGCCATCTGTGGCCCTATGTTTGGAATACTGACTTGGGGTCAGAGAGCTCCGAACACTGGGCAGGTGGTCCCTAGCTGGAGAGGCTTAGTAGAGGAATTGTAGTACCAGCAGTGAAGTCATAAGATCTACTGGGTGACGGGAGCTGTATGAATGGGTTTCTAAGATGGCCCTATGACCAGGGCCAGCAAGGTGGCATGGTGGTTAAGGGTGCTGGACTCCCACGTGGCCAACCATGTTTCTAGTCCTGGACCTGGAGACTTGCTTTCTCACTTTCCCCCCTTTCTTTCTCTCTCACTCTGTCTCTCTCTGATCTAATTAAATAAATAAATAAAGTTAAATTAGGAACTAAAAAAAAAGATGACCCTATGGCCCAGGACAGTCACAGGACATCCTGGAGGGGTAAACTGGGAGGAGCTGGCATGGGATGGGAAGATAGCCTGCTGTCCCCGTTTTGGACCAGGATAGGTTTGGCTATCAGTGGACAGTTTTCTGCCCCTTGCTCCCCCTTCTGACCGTCCAGTTTTCCATCACTCTCAGAGCCCTTCCCCGTCTCCTACCCTCCCGGTCATGGTGGGCATGGTTAGCCCAGTGCCAGCAGAGTCTTGCTTCTTAGATGCAGGCACCCCCTGTCTGGTTACTGACATGGGTAGTGTAGGAGGGGCGAGGCTGTGTCCGAAGCCCTGTGTAGCATCTGGTTATCCCTGCGTGCTGTCCTTGGACCAGTCATGGAGGGAGAGCATTTGCCAACCCGTGGCTCCTCTGTGGAGAGCACCTCTGGGGGCTGGGACGAGGACAGGCATCTCTCCCTGGCTATAGCCGGTTACTGCTGCTGGTGCGAGGCTGCCCTCTCCCCTGCTCTCCATGGAGACATTCTGCCCCTAACCCCTGAGCCGCCTGGCCTTCCTGCTCCCATTCAGCTCCTGAGAAGAGAGCTGTGCTAGAGAAGGGGCAGGGGAGGGGCTGCTTGTGCTGAGGAGGCCCTGCTTCCTTTCCTGCAGCTCCAGATGGAGTTGGGGTCGTCTAGGAAACGCAGGCCCTGGAGAAACACTCAGGCTCTAGCTCACACTCATGCTCACCGACTGGGGGACCCATTAGGCTGCTTCCTCTCCCTTAGAGCTTTGAAGCCCCGTGCAAAGAATGGCCTAGCCTAGGCAGAGAAGTATCCCATCTGCCCCCCAGTATCCCAGGCCCTCCTTTACTGCAGGTGCGAGAGCTTCCCGTGTGTCCAACTCTGGTCCCAGAGCAATACTCCCAGACCACTACTCGCTCAGGCTTGGCTTGATGCTCTGGGAAGAGGGTCCCGGCGTCTGCAGGCAGCCCCTGTGCTCAGCAGCCGGGCTGAGTGGGTCGCATTGATTCCCACCTGGGGGGAAGGTGTTGGAATCCCCAGAGCCCCTTCCTCTGGCTGGCTCTGTCTTCTCCCGCTGGAGTCTTCCTCCCACTAGCTTCCTGGCCTCTGCTCTGCCCTCCTGGAAGTCGCCCGATGGCCCGTTTTCCCCCCCTCCCACCC